CCACCCACATGTTTACATTTCTATCCATCGTCAGAAACACGTTTAAGCAAATGAACGTATATGTCATCGAGAGATTCAGTATCCTTTTTCAAATTAATACCATTTAACTGTTCTTTTATATGTTATGTCTTTGATAATAATCTCTTATTATAATTAGATTCGGAGTCCATAATTTTCGTATTCTTCCAGTCAAAGACATGATGCATGGTTTGTTAAAACTGAAAGTCTAGATGCATCAAGTTTTCTATTATTTATATGTTCATTTACTCTAGTACTTAATTTCCTCTTTGTCTGTCTTACATAAGTCACATTACAGTTCTCACATGGAATCTTATATACAACATTATTACTATTACCTTTTTCTTTTTTATCTTTAAGTACTTTAATAAATCTATCCAATTTATTCAAACACCTGTATCCAATACTATAGACTGATTCATTGAACATATGAGTAATTGAATATGTTACGCTATTTATAAATGGAAATACGATGAACTTTTTCTTATTTAAATCTTTATTACTTTCTCCCGAATTATCACTGAATGTGGAAGTAATTTTTTTAGTTTGTATACTAATATTTTTAATTCGTATACTAAATTGTTTGAAAATTAATTCCAGCGGATATCCATTATTTAAAAGGATTGAAATACATTTTTCTAAATTTTTCTAATTCTCATAGTAGTAAAGGTAGGTATGTTCCAACTCACACAGACGTGATTTAGAACCGTCCACGGCTGGGATAGCCAATGGCGTTGCTCGTTTTTGTTTGTGTGCGTGCGAGTTTGCGTGTGAAAGTAAAAAGCGCGGGAAATCGACAACGAAGGTCGCGCCTCGGTGGTGGGGGGCGCCCAGGCGCGGTCGCCATGGCGACGTCGCGGGCGCCGCGGCGAGCGCGCGAAGCGAGGTTATGTCTCTCTCGCGCCGCGCGCTTGTACAGGTTATGTTCGCGCGCATTTACAGGTTATGTCTACGTCCCCGCACCCCCCTCGGAGCTTCCGGAGTGGCGCGCGCGCATGTGGTAGTCACGTGATCGCGCGCGTTGGGTTATCAGGTTAGCATAAGCGCGCTCGCCGCGGGCGAGTGAAGCGAGGTCATGTCTCTCTCGCCGCGCGCGCGCGCTCTTACAGGTTATGTCTCTTCCCGCGCTCGCACCGTTGATCACGCGTGCGCGTCGAGATCCTCGCGAGCGGCGCGACGGTCGGTCGGTCGGTCGTCCTCCTCGTCGTCGTCGTCGTCGTCGTTCCGTTCGGTCGCGCGTCGTATCGTCGTTACACCTTTACGGCTGGAGAAAAAAAAAATGAAAATAATGAGGGGAAAAAAACGTGTTGGTGAATGTTCAGTTTGTCTTTACGACGGAACGAATAAACTAATCGTCAATTATTATTGTTGTTATTGTTGTGTTGTTACCGTTACGCGTTGCGCGCGTTCTCGCCTCGGGAGACGATTCTCACCTTTATTTTTTCTTTTTTTCCTCGATCTATCTATAGCCTTCAGGTCGCGCTCCGGAAACAATTCATTTCGACGAATGACTCATTCGATGCGCTCTATCTCTATCTCTTTCCCCCTCGTCTTCGCTGTTTTTCCGTTGCACGACGTGATCGGTCTTTTTTCTTTTTCGTCGTCTTTTCGCGACCTCGATCTCCTCCTCCTCCCTCTCTCCCTCTCTCCCTCTCTCGTCCTCACTCTTTTCCGTTGCGCGGCGTGATCGGGTTTTTTTCCTTTTCGTCGTCTTTTCGCGACCTCGGTCTATCTGTCGCCTCCAAGGTCGCGCCTCGGATGACTCACTCGTCGCGCTCTATATATCTCTCTCTCTCGTCCTCTCTCTTTTCCGTTGCGCGGCGTGATCGTTGCGTGTATGCTTTTCTCAACAGGCTTCTCCATTATGTGGAAAAGAAACTAAGAAATAAATTGTTGAGTTGAATAATATACTTATATACAATGCACTTATTTTGTTTTATATTAATGTATATATATTTATTCGAAGACGCGCTCGCGCCTCCGAGTTAGTTTTTTTTTTCCGTTTTCCTCGTCGTTCGCTACGCGCTTACTATTAATTTATTCAAGGTCGCTCGTCTGAGGTTTTGCTTCGTCGTGCGCTACGCGCGATTGCGATTCATTTACATATAGTACTCAGGGTCGCATGCGTTAAATAAAAATACATTAATTTTTTGTCGTGTAATTCAGTCAGATTGAATGTGAAATTGGTTTTTTATTTGATTCTAGTGTTGTTAATACATGAGTGAATACAATTAATAATAAAAAAAAAAAATGTTTATTCGTAAAGCGTTTAATTCGGTCCGAAGATCAGTGCGATTAGTTCGCAATCGATTATGTCGTTGCGATCGAAATATTCATTTTCGTATATGGTTTTTTGTATTTTCGTAGAATCGTTCACATTAGCCGCGATATTGAGAAGACGCGAGTACTTTTTGTCTATGATGTCGGTTACATTGTCGAATGAGGAAATGAGACGATTGACGCAATATTCTAGATTGAATAAATTGACAACTGTACTGTTTGACAAGGTCATTCGTGAAGATGTCGAATCAAGACGCAACATCGGTATACTGTTAATTCGACCGAAATGCAATGTCACATTTCCGATGTATATTGTCGATGGCGCGTGTTTTTCTTTTGTATTTTCGGTTTGCAAAAGCGGCAATATGACGCGTTTATGTTCGACGAGCTCGCTCCATACGGTCGGTGAGAGGAACATCTCTTTGCCGTGACTGTCTCCAAGAACGACAGTTATCTCGCAGGGCAATTTGACGTTGATGCCGACGGTCAGATACTTGTATCCGGTAGTAGTTAAAGGATATCTTCGTTTCAATATGCGTACTGTGGTTCTGTTGCGAAAGAAAAAAATTAATTCAGAACAAAACAGTGATTAAAAAATACAAATACCTACGTGTCTTTTTTATCTGCTTTTTCGTTATATTGTTTCTGCATATTGTTCATTTCGGCATACTGTTTTTCCTTTTTTCCATCATGCTCCGTGAGTAAATGCTTTGCTGCCGTATTGTTGAAAACTCTTCTGATCTTCGCGTCATTCGTACGCTCGATGAGACGTCGAGAGTCGTCGTCGGTGTCGTTTGAAATCGCGTACCTGTCTCTCACGATGTTAATCGAACGATTCGTTCTTTCGCACTGATCGTCTGCGTAACCATGTAGTAATATATTATTTTACTTAAAACATCGTGTTAATCGTCCAATGCATCCTCTGCGGTGTATTCGAGTAATTTACTTAATTGAAGCAGTCGATTAAGAAGATCGTGCAATTTTCTTAGCAGTCCGTCTGTAGGACAATTGACGTTGAGTAGTTTCATGTCGAAATTATCGGCATTTGTTACTGTTTGGGTGAACTCGTTGAATTTGTAATATTGACGTTTGTGTAGGAAATAAAGAGAACCATCGATATATCGGAAGGCTAGAGTCGGAGATGGTGGTATTCCCGGAAATATCGATTTTAACGAGTGATATTCAGTAACGGTCATGTCGCATTCATTCATCAACGCTACGCTCTCGCCATCGAAGATCACGTACGTTTGTCCTCTGTTGGTGACCAATGCTGCGTTAACGCGCATTCCTGCGGGAAAGTGTAGGTCTGAATACGTTTTCGGCCAACCATTTTTCAATTTTAAACTCGGATAATCTATCATGTAAATGTTATTATTCGCGAATAGCACAATTTCTCCTGATGGCCGTTGATACGCGGCGCTTATTATTGAAACATTCGCCGGAAGAAAACGAAGATAGTCGTTGAGTGCTAGTAGTCCCTTGTAT